AGTGTATAGACTTTATTATCAAAAATAAAAATTATTTTTGAGAACGTCTGTTTTTTGGGTTGGCAAGGGGATTAGCGGAAAGAGTTCGATTTTATATTTATAAAGAATATATATTTATAGAAAATATATATTGTTATAATAAAATCATAACAAGTTAGTTGCTTTAATTTGTCTTATACTATATAATAATTAAAGTGGTTTTTTTTTTAAAAAGATATGAATTTAATTAAAGTTCATAATATTAACACAAATCAATTTATTAATCTTATATCTTATCAGTCACAAGACATTTCCTTATTAGTGCTTTTTATTAGTAGATCTATTTTATGTAACATGGGCAATCAAACTTTTTTGTAAAAGTATTTTGTTTAACTTATAATAAATAATACTGTCAATCTAAACAAATCTTAATCTACAAGTTCTTAGCTTTTGTTTTATATTAAAAAAGTTTATTTATTGTTAAATTTATGCAAGTAAAACTAAATTGAAAATGGCAATTTTTTAGGTAAAAATCTTAAAATCTTTTTTTGGAATCTTTAAATTTATCTCAATTTTATTCTTATAAAGGTAGAGATTAATAATTGCTTCAAAATATCTTACTAACACAAATGTAGTTTACTAATATTTTTTTAATATTTTTTTAAAAGCATTTTTTTTTTGTACAAAAATAATAATTTTAAATCTTTTATTATGACAATAGATTATAAGTAATATAATATATAATAATTATAACAAAAAAAATTTCTGAAAAATATATAATAAATCACTTATGTATCAATTGTAATTATATATTATTTGTCTTTCTATTTCGATTATTTCTCCAATATATTTTAATTCTTTCAATCATCCAATCCAAAGATATAGCTTGAAATTGTAATTATACTTTTGAAATTACGGTTTCAGGAAGTTGTTATAATTCAAATAATTGATTAAGTATTACTTTTTCTACTTCTGTAGTGATGCGGCATGTCTTTTTTGAATAATTGGCTTTAAGAGATAATGGTGTCTGTTGTTGTATTAATGAAATATTTTGTTGAATAATTGATTCTTGAGAAGAATTATTTACTTGTTTATTTATTTTTTTTCTTTATCTACAAGCTGTGCATAAGTATAAGAACTTATATTATACATACGATATCCTGTAGTTACTTGTGGCTTAATCTTATATACATCTTGATCAAGTATTTTTTGAAAACGTAATTTTTCAGTTTCATATAAAGAAAGAATTTTTGCAATACCATCTTCATTAAGTTCTGGTACACCTTTAAATAGGAAAAGTGTTTTGGGATCTGGATAATTAAAAGCATCTAATAACTTTGTCACCAAGGATTAGAATGAATCTTTATATAATTTAATTAAACGAATATTCTGATTTACTATGAGATCATCTGTATATTCAGCAAGAAGTATTGATAATCAATTTTTTTCACTTTGAGCTACCTTAATCTTAAGCATTAGGGTTGATTAATTAGTAAGATTTCCACTAATATTTTGCTTGATGAAGTTTATACCATATGTTTCAAGTGCTTTGTCGAAAGCAAAATAATGACCTTCATTCGTAATATTTACTAAATATACTGTTTGTAGTAATTTCCATAGTCATGGGTTATTATAAACTTGAGCTAAAAAATGTGATACAGAAGTTGCATATTTGAATTTTTCTGCTATAGGAAAAAGAGGTGCGAACACAGTTAAATTTGATATCTGCATATCGTAATTTCCTTTTCTAATTTTAATTTTATAGTCCACAAAATATTCTGTTCAATGAAAAAAGAGGTACCACACTTTTATCAATTGATTATTACTATTCAAAATATCATTTATAGTTTTTCTTTTTTTTCTTGCATATTGACACAGTGCAATTCCTACTGCAATTCAAATTAATTCCAAAACACGACATGTTACCCGATAATCCACAATATGTTAAAATTTGTTCAGAAATTGTATATCAAGAGCTGCTGCAAGATTGAATATTCCATATCTTGAAAATATCATAATCAAAGTGCTATATATGTCTTTTGATGTATGCCATTGTCCTAAAAAAAGCTATACATCCTTATGAGTTTCTTTATATGATACTAATCTTTCAAAAATTGTTTGGTTACATATAATATATAGGTTATTATAACTATTAGCTAGTAAATCATTGTGATACATTTTATATGCTACATAGACATTGTCATTGCAATTGGATGGATCGCAAGGATTTAATATTATAATGTTTGGTGGTAAAGTATTACAACCTATAGATATTTGTTCAATAATTTTTGAGCACACATCTTCCATATTAAATTCATTTTCGTAATTTTCTAACATTGTATTCAATATATTTTCATATATAGCTAGAAGATTATCAGTAGCTGGAGATTTGCCAAATAATGGTTGATTAATAGATTCGGTGTTCTCAATAAGATTGTCAATAGAAGTAGGTAAAGTGAATTAAAATAGCATTCGAAGTGTTGCATGTGAAGTTTTTCTTACAACATCAAAAATATTGCCCAAGGGAAATGTAGAAGCTTTAAAGTCAATATTATTAATCATGACAAGGTTTCAAATGTTTGATCCCTTAATTATATTTTCTTGAGGGTTGACATAATGCATCCTAACTTTTCTAAGACGGTTTTCATGCCACTTAATGTAAGATATAACAAGTGCTGAATAAAGAATCTCATGTAATTGTGATAATAATTTTGGATTTTAATACATTGAGGATATAATATGTGAAAGCCAAATTTTTATTCTAGGAAAAGTAATAGTAAGTAATATAGAAGTTAATAGAATAATAGTCCTTGTAATTTGAACTTTATCAAGAGATCTTGGAGAAAGTCCATATTGATATCTTTTTTTATTAACTATTTTTTGTTTCTGTTGTTAAATTATAGTAATAAGAGCTTAAAAGAAGCAATAAATAGTTTTAAATAATGCATTGAAATAATTTTCATATGAACTTGGGTTTTTTAACTGATCAATCTTTTCCTTAATTTTAGAATATAAAAATAAAATGTTTTTCCCTAATTCTTCTCCTATCATCGAAGCCTTTTCAGGGGATTTTATATGAGATTCTTTTATCAATATATTTAAATCAACCTTTCTAATTCTTAATGCTGTTAAAACAAGTAATTTGCTTGGCAATTTTTCTGTCTTTGTTTCTGGTAAGTTTTTATTTATCATTTCATTGTTAAGAATAGTCAATGCTGGAGTTATCAACAAGAGAAGTTTTTTTTGTAACTTTTGATTTTTTGATTCTGCTATTGACATTATCCATTTTCCAATATATTTTAGAGAGTTGCTTGTGTCATTATCATATTTTTCTTGTTCCATACATGATAAAACCATTTTACCTTTATCTGGATTTTCATATAAGTGACCATCTTATTGTTAAAAGCATTTTGAGCAGATATAATATGCACAATAGCTTGAAAATAACTTTTGTACAATAGGTCCTTCAGTAAATACTAAATATTTATGAACACCAATACAAGGTACTTGAATATTACATCTGTTAATTTTCCATGAATGCTCCTTTTAATTATCACCATGGCTAAAAAAGCATCTTTTTTTATGACAGAAAATGCAAAAGTGGAAGCAAATGTTTTGATCAATCAAATATAATTGTTTTGCACCTTTAATATAAAGTCAGCTTTGATCAAAGGCAAAATGAAAATTGCATACTTCAAGTTGGTAATTATTGCCTTTAATATCATTAACTGCATCTGTATCTATTTCCCATGTTCCTATCATTTGTTTCAATGGTCATAAATTTATTTTTCCATTATAATGTTTTATTTCGCCTTCTATAACATTTAAAATAATACATGATATCAAATGTGTTAAGTCTGAATTACCAATAAAGGTATCTTCTACTTTTATACATATAACTTCATTTTTATCATTATTTTCATTACTATCTTTATCATTAGTTTTATCATCTTCATATTCATCATAGCTATAATATTCATTTTCTTCTTTGCTTAATAGGAGTCGAGCATTTGTGAGAACATTTTTGTCAATAGTAAAAGAGCCTTTATCATTTTCTTCTGAAGCATTGCATTTCTCAAAATCCATATAAGTGAATTCTGAATTACTCATTATTGAATGTTTTTTGTTATAAGAATGATGTAATTATAAGTGTCTATGAAATTTGAATTTTATAGGGATTTCATATCTCAACAATTTCTAATCTTATATAATAATATCTTTGATTATCATTATTAATTTACTAGATTTATTCTTGCTTTATGCATTATGAAATACATTTAATCCCCCTTGCATTCCTCAAAATTATATGAAATAGTTCGATTAAGTATGTATTTTTTACTTATATAATTTTTGCCATACATTTTTTATTTTATTTTTCCTTATTTAATAATTTTATTATACTTAATTTTCTATTAAACATTCCTTAATATAATTTAGTCACTATTTATTCAAATAATTGAAATAAGCATAATCATTTCACTTTATTTATTTTTATTAAGGATGAATATATTAACAATTTTCTCTAAGTATATATGCTAAGGAGTTGACATGCAAGTCTATTGATTAAAATGCGAACTTAAGAATATTAGAATATTTCCATTCAGCATTTAAAATCGATACACTTATTTGTTGCCTGCGAGTTAGATTAAAAGTAATATTATCGAATAATCTTTCATCTGCAATTTTGATGAGAGCACCTACCCAATATTCTGTCCTCAGGTGTGATGTGCTGCCTATTAGATGCTATTGTGGCAAGAAATAACTATCAAACATTTCGTTCACAAGCGTGATAAGAGAAAAATCCACTTACTAGTTGTTATACAAGATGTTTGTCAAATTTTATAAGTATGTCACATGCCTATTGATTACCACAAATTCACGAAAAACCCAATAAGTTATAAAAAAATTTGAAATAAAAAAAACATGTAGTTGAAATTTTTGTTTACTCTTGCTTTCAAATAAGGATATTGACTTTTAAACTTGAGAAAAATATGATTCAAAAAAATTACCTCCATTAGTTGTGCAATACCATACTTTTTACGGAGAACTATGTCAGATAAACAACCAAGTATCTTAAGGGCACCATCTTTTTGTTGTGGATTTTGATTCTCCGGAGAAGCCGAAATATAAGTTGTGAGTATTGTGCTAATGAACCCCATTATTCCCATGAATGTATATCTTTTCCTATGTTATGCCAGGTCCATCAGGAAAGTTACAGCTGCCACAGATGGTGACATAAAGTTCTTCAGGAAATCCATTTTTTTGTATATATATTCAATAGGATTCTCAACCCACAATTCTTTATCTTTATTGGAAAAATATAATTGTGGAAATATGAATTGAAAAACCAATGTTTCTATATAAGGCTTAATAATTTGCCATATAATTTTTTGGGTAATCCTATGAGTTTTTGATCTCAGATTAATTTCATGAACTATAGTGGTTCATGTTTTATTAATTAGCATTATGACTTCAAAGCTTACATGTCTTTAAAAAAGTCCAAACAAAAATAAAGAATTTTATCACTTAGCCATATTTCATATTTAATCCAACACTCAACTTAATGCAGATATGTCTGAAGAATTTGTGATCCAAAATGATATACAAATTTTCTATGAATACATTTTATTTCGTAAATGTTGTTATGAGTTATGCAGGATTTCTATATCTTGAAAAAATCCTATTCAAATTTTTGCATGCCTATCTCTGAGTTTTAAATCAAATAAATCTTTGCCACTCTTCGATATCTGTGGGTATTATCTCTTCAGGAATATGCTTTTCAAACATTTGTAACATTAATATGGTCCATGATATAATTGAAGAATCCTTTTGAAATAACTTATGAAGTTCATACTAAAGTTCAATACAAATGATACATTAATAATATAAGAATGAATTTTATTAAATACATAGGCTTAAAAACCTACTTACATTTGTGTATGCCACCTACCATATGTATCCTAATTATTTACAAACCAATTAGTTCTCTCTATATATATAATATAAATAATGTGAAGCATAATATACAAACCGATTCTTTCTTTTAAGTAATTTTTTTTTATCTCATTCCAGAAACTATTAACACATTAAGCTTTTTCCTCTTTCATTATATCTCAAACACCTTGAACTTGATGTCAAAACCACACGAACAATATATTAGTATAAAGAGAATCCATTATTTCATCCCCTATCTAATGAGACAGACTAATTATATGAAATACTAAATTAGAAAACCTCTTTAGCAAGATACATCCTATCCTTTGAGATACGTTTACCACTTTTAGGGAAAAACTATTATAATGATATATGTTAGAAAATGTTGTAGGTAAATGAATTAAAAATAATGAACATACTTATTATATATATTATATTATAAGGATTATAATACTTTAATTTTGAATAAAGATCTTTGAAGTATAGAATATTAAAAGTCAAAATTTATTTGAATTAATAAACAAACATCTTAGTAATAATTTTAAGTTAAATAATACTAGTGAAAGTGTTGCAAAAATCTGGATTGCTATATACACAGTATCATATAAACCCAATTTTTTATATAAAATCTAGTGATCGATATGTAAATTTTATTAATGTACAACATTTTGAACCCCTGGT